TTCCTTTTTTTTTAAGTACTGAGGTTTGAACACCTGGCCTTCTATCTGATTAAAAAACTATTGTACACATGAGTAATGCCTCTAGCCCTTTTTTTTTCATACTTTTACCCTAGGATCAGACCCTTATCTTCCTACCTATACTTCCTACATAGCTGGAATTAGAGGCCTGAGTCACCTTGTCTGGCTTTTTGCCCCCCCCCACACCACACAAACCTCTTTCCTTTTAGTTAGAGCATATTGATTATAAAAAGAGGTTCCATTTTCGGACTAGGAATGTGGCTTAGTGGTAGAGTGCTCACTTAGCATTCATGAAGCAAAAAGACACCAGTAAAGATGTGGCTCAAGTGGTAGAGCCCAGCCTTGAGCAAAAAAGCCAAGTAATTTCTTAAGGACTTGAGTTCAAGCCTTAGTACCAGCACACACACAAAAAAAACAATTTCATATCTGAAATTTTAAAGTTATATTTTAAATTTTCATTCTGAGTAATTTTACTTAATCTAATATTTAAGTAATACAATTACACATTAAAATAATTTTGGATAGTATTTTCAAATGTTAAAAACACTTATCCATCAAATTGACTCCTATTTACAAAATAAATTGGCTCTTTGGTGTCATCATGAAAGAATTTAGGCAGCATTCATAGAACTAAGAATTGATTTGCAAAGTATCAAACTTTTCTCACTTGTTTCTCTTATGTTTTGGAACTACTTTCTCTGTCCTTCTCACCTGGAAAACTCAGATCCAGTCCTTTGGTACTTAGCTCTAGTGCCCACACTTCTGGGAAGTCTTCTCTGATCCCAACTTCAGGGCTCCCTCTGTACTCTGTCATAGGACAAATAACACTATATTACAAGCCTTTTTATGCATCTATGGCTCTCCCATCTGTAAGTTTCTCAGACATAGTCTATGTCCTTGTTATTTCTCTACCTTCTATACTACAAATATAAGAAAGTGAAAGATTACATTTCCCAGACTACTTTGCAGCTAGGACTCTGGGTACAGTTTGGGTTCAACCAATCAAAAGCATTCACAGGAATGAATTCCAAGCTGTTACATGAGATGGATGGCCAAGTGGAAGACATGGTTTCACTGGTGCCGAATGCCTCAGAGGTGGCATAACTCTTGTAAACTGCACTTGTGGCAGTACGTGTGGCAGCAGCTTTCATGATGGCCCCATTTGACAGTCATTTCTTCAGCCTTCCTAAAGATTCTGAGATAGCTGTGCCCTTCATAAATCCCTTTCTCCTTCAACTAACTGACTTGGATTCTGTTATCCATGTTATCCAACTAAGAACCAGAGATCATCCTGGGGCCACCATACAAGTTCATGACCTTGGCTCTAGCTTACTTAGTTCTCACAGAGAAGTAAGTCACAAATAGCCTGGTTTGCAACCAGAGATGGTGTCACTAAGCCTCTGGAATCCGGGTTTGGTGAAGCCACAGACCTAGGCAGTTACTAAGAAAAGCTCCAGATGCAAATGTTGCTGAAAATAATTAGAAGACTAAAGTCCTTAGGGAGCTGGGAAACTGGGAGACATATCTCCTGCATGGCTACAAACCAGCTTTGTGTGACTTTGGATAAATCGCTTCTCCTTTCTCTATTTCTTTTTTCTCCTCCATTAAACTCTTTGACCTAGGCAGCATCTTCCCTCTGTCCAGCAGCCCTTCCATTGCTCCCACAAAACCACCAGGCCTTCTCCCTTCATCCACCACTTGGCCTTCCATTCTCATGAATCCCACCATTGTTCATATACCAACCAGGCAGGTGGTTCCAAATGGTCTCATGACATGTGTCTAATGACTCTTAGCTGGAGATAAGTTCAGAACTGGGTTCTCATCTCTCATTAGCCACTGCTGTGTTTGTGCCCCTCAACTCCTATGTTGAAATCCTAACACTCAGTGGGATGTTCATTAGGGGATGGGGCCTTCAGGAGGTGATGGAGCAGAACTCTCAAAAATGGAATTAGTATCCTGATTTTTTTAAAGGCCTGGGAAAGACAAGACCCTTTGCCCCTCCAACTGTGTGAAAATACTGCAAGAAGGTGTTGTCTATGAACCAGAAAGTAGCCTTCACCTGAGTTGTGGACTCCCAGCATCCAGAACTGTGAGAAATTAATGTTATGTCTGAGTTACCTAGACTATGGTATTTGATTATAGCACTAACGCAGTCATAGTGACAGAGTGAATATGCTGAGGAGCATTCCCAGGACAGCACAAGCACACAGGAAGGACAAGACAGGTTCACTCCTGCTGTCCCTTTTCTCCTATAACCTAAAGGGCAAGTATTGCCAATGGATGCCACTGGGATTCAGGTACTTGTTTCTAGTTCCTCGCTGAATGATGGCAGAGCTGAGTCAGGGATGAATAACTCTGGAAATCTCTCCACAATCTGCTCCAGAGACTCACTTTTGCTGAGTTGTTTAGTAAAACAGCCCCCTCCCATCCACCATCCTGAAGATGGAGTCTATATGTAGTCCTGCATGGGTGTGAGGATGTCCTTGATCAACCTGTCCCTGCTGTAGACTCCAGATATCAAGCATATGTTCCTGAGGCTTTGGCCTACTACAGATTCCTAGTGGTTCCTAGAGGTAATTACAAGGAGCTTAAGAGCATACCTGTCATATGCAGCCCAACCAATACAGAGCTGAGCCAAGATCCCCTCCTCCCTCTGGTCTACTATCCCGTGTCCTCATGACCTGAGGGCCAGGTACTAGGTAGCCAGGGACTGATCCTAATACCCTAAAACTAAAAAAATAGCAAAACAAGTCAATTATACTTACAAATCTTGCCTCATCATTCCTGCCCTTGAAGATTCTTCCCTCCCTCCCCAACATACACATATTTCCATTGCCTCCTGACTGGCTCTGGTACTTCCCATTTGGCCCTGTGTGGTGTGCCAACCCTCTTGTCTTCAAGGATCTATGAACAACACCTCCCTCCCACACACACACTTTGCTCACATCAGTCAGTTCTGCATCTATGTCCTATCATCACCTGATTAACTCAAACCCCATATTCCCTGAAAACACACTCGGCCAGTTCATCAAAACTGCTCTATATGTGGGTTTGATGCCTCAGTTTACCCATCTGGAAAAGGGAGTTTTAATAACCTTTGCTCCTTCTCCATCTTGGGGAACTTTCAATGTCACACTGTCTCACCCCAAGATAATGCCTCTGATGGAATACCCAAGAGATCTGTGTGGTCCAAAACAGCCACACTGAAGACAGTCAGGAAAAGGATGCTCACATAGCTTTGTATAATGATAACAGAAGATGCTCACATGATAGTGTTAAATGCAAAATACAAGTTACAAAACAGCGATCCGCAGAAAGAATTTCACACACATAAGGCCAACCCTGAAGAAAGCAGAGAAGGAGGGTGAGGTGTTAATGGGGGTTTCTTGGAGTCTTGGATCAAGGAATGGTTTTTAAAGTGTTTTTTTCTGTGTTTTATAGGTTTTCTGTAGAGTTATGATTCTTTCATTATAGGCAATCACTGATAAATGTGCATCATGGATTCTCCTTCAAAAGCCTTCATTTTCTCCTTTATCTGCAAGGAGGCTGAGAGAACATCTCTTCTTTCAATTCTGGAAAGACTATCTCTCCCCAGCTCAAAGGGAGGGAGGGAACCTGGCACTACACTAGGCATCTACGGGTATAAAGTCCTGACCAGAAGGTGATATCAGGAGCTCAACTCCTCTCTGATACCATTTGACTTCCAGGAGCCAAATCTGATGCTGATGCCAGGCTGCATCTGTCCTGCCCTCATGGTCACTGATGTGGAGGTCCGGAGGTGGGTTGGAGTAACTACAGTTGCCGGGTCAGCAGCCTCATTAACTAAGGAGACAAATGCTAAAGGCTAGAGGAGTCCCTGGTGGCCCTGGGTATAGTTTCCCACTTCCCATTCACATGGGAACTAGTTTTGTGAGTTGAGGAAGCCATTCTCAGCAAGCCTCAAGTTGGCCTATAAGGAGCCTGCTCTATGCCCCTGAGCAATTCTCACCATCCCTTTCCCAGAAGCCACCTGCAGGGGCTGCATCATGGCCCCATCCCATCTCCAGAATCTCTCAGGGGTCACTAGGTCTTCCTTGGGGACACAAGATTCTGGGCCCCAGATATTACTAGCTGGTAAGAGGTGAGGGCCTCTGTGTTCTACTCTCTACCCGCACCCCTACCTTAGCCCAGTGGCTGGTAGCATTCAGAGTTCCCTGGGCCATGCAAGAGCACATCTGGTAGGCTTAGCCACCTGTCTAGTAGGGTGCAGGGAGCAGGGAAGCCATGCCAGCTGAGCAGTCTGAACCCCTGGGCTCCTGTCAAGCCTGAGGCAGAGTCTCAATGAACCTCAGAGTGACTGGTTTATTCCACATTGGTAAGAATACCATGAGCTCCTATGACACGTT